GAAAAATCGAAAACTGTTTTTTTTTACTCTGAAAAAAATTGATACTATGGTGAAGGTTAAATTATATAATCAAGAGATAGAAAGGGTCAAAAACTTTAAATTCCTTGGTTTATGGTTTGATGATAGAATTACATGGGCATTTCATATTCAGAAAATGATTGATAAGTGCAAAAAAGTTTTGAAGGTTATGAGAAGTTTAGTTGGTCATGAGTGGAAAGCAGACAGAACTGCTTTAAAAGCTATTTATACAGGATTAATAAGATCAGCAATAGACTTTGGTAGAGTGGTTTATGGTTCAGCAGCTATTAGAGTATATACAGACACAAGCTTTAAGATTAATTACAAGAGCATTTAAAACAACATTGCAGGTTGAAACTGGAGAAATGCCTGGAAATCAGGAGAACTGTTGCTAAATGACTGGGTTAGTTTACAGGGTCATGGTCAAGATTATCCTACAAAAGGAACACTGCAGCCGTGTTGGGAAAGGGAGAGGAGACAAACGGGAAGTTTTGGATGGATAGTGGGGAATAAACTAAGACCTTAAATTAGAAATTAAATGTAGTCCAACTGTAGCGTTACCAGTAATCCCTCCCTGAATCACACCTGAAACTACAGTGGATTTGACATGGTTAGAAAGAAAAAGGAAGGCAATATTTATCATAAACTGATACAGGAATATGTTAATAGTTATTATGGTTATATTCAAATATATACAGATGCATCTAAAAGTGTGAGTAATAGGCTAGGTATTGCATTTTATGTTCTAGAGTTCAATATCAAAGTTAATAGGAGAATAAATAATGAATTATCTGTTTACACAGGAGAATTATTAACAATATTATTGGCATTACATTGGATAGAGGAAGTGAGACCGTTAAGATCAATTATATGTTCAGATTCGAGTTCAGCTTAATCAGTATAATAAATCATAGTTCGGAAAGTAGACCAGACATTTTAATTGAAATACAGCAAGTTTTATATCAAGTTGAAATTATGGGTATTAGTGTTATATTAATTTGGGTTTAAGCACATATAGGGATTGAAGGAAATGAAATTGTAGACAAGATTGCTAAGGAAGCAGCACAAAATAAAACCGCTAATATGATGATTAACTTAAGTAAGACAGAAATGAAAAGTATCATTAAACAAAGGATGAAGGAAAGGTGGCAAAAACAAAGGGAGGAAGAAAGGAGAGGAAGATGGTTTTATAGGAGAAATGAGGAGAGCAGGAGGAAGCAGAGGAGAGGAAACAGTTATTTCAAGAC